TCACTTGAGGGAGATTATATTGAAAAATAAAAAATAGAAACCATATATTTTCTTTCATTAAGTACCTAAGGTCGCGGACTTATCAGCCGCTCCTCGGATTCCGATGGGACAGTAATCCGACATGACCGGAGAGAGAAACGTTTAAACGTGGTAGAGCCATGCTGCAGCTATATTATGGTTTTAGCACGACGTTCACACAGAATACCTGCGTAAAATAGCACCTTAATGCTGCTGTGTTTGTTATGGTGAATTTTACTGGAAAAGAGGCATTCTATCTTAGTACTCACGGCTGACAACGCATCTGAATTTTAATTCGCAAACGAACATAGATGTAGATGTCTATGGGCCACAGCTACAACTTACCATCAGGTGGACTGTGTACTCGTTTGTCACCCTTATCCTATAAAAAAAAACTAATAATTCACCCGAATTCAAGATAAGAGAGGAGATTCTCAATTCGACTGTACGTTTCTTTTATGTCAGTTAAGTGAAATCTTCGTCAATTCTGAACCAATTTTAATGAATCTTTTTTTGTTCAATATGTTACTTTAGGGAGGCCCCACATAAAATTGTGGAATAAATTTGACCTCTAGGGGTAGGAAAATAGTGGATGCAATGTTCAATGTAACTATTTAGACTACATTGAGAAGATATTCCTTCCGAGATCCCTTAGTCCACTGAAAAGGGTGAAAAATAACTTAATAAAAATTAAAAGGTTACCTATTCTTTACAACCGACTTCAAAAATGGAGGAGGTACTCAATTCGACTGAATTTTTCTTGGTGCACAGATTTTGACGATTCTTTTTTTATTCGACAACTGGTTATTCTCATAGTTATCCTCATTAATGCGTATTTAATTGACTTCGACTACTATTGATGATGTTCTCATTTTATTTGTATTGAAGTCGGTTGTACATTTTTAATTTTACCACTTGTTAGTTCTTTGAAGTCGACTTTAACTTTTTACTAGCTATTTATTCCCCGCGACTTCGCCCGCGTGGAATTTATTACGATTGAATTTTATGGGTTTTAATTTTTTTTTGCGGAACCCTAATTATTTTTCTAAAATAAAAGTAGCCTAAGTTACTCCTTATAACATTAGCTATCTGTCCTAAAGTCCCGTCAAAACCGGTCCAGCCATTACGGAGATTAACCGGAACAAACAGACAGACAGATAAAAAATTAAAAACTGTGTTTATGTTAAAAGTACCATATATACTTTCATATGCATTTAGTTAAAAGCTGTTATTTTGAGATTACAAACAGACATGTCAATTTTATTTATTTGTATAGATTAAAAGTTTAATTTTCCACCACCTCTAGTGTTCGAAATAAAAATCGGATTCTATTAGTTCCCTGCCAGTATGTCTGTCTGTCACAAACATTCTTCTCAAGGATTTGTTACTAATATGTTAAATCCCTAAATTTTTTTGTGTAAATTTAAAATGTATTAATAACAGCGCCATCTATCCGGTTCAAATTTAGTGATTTCATTTTTAGCAATAAACCAAATAATTTATAACAATAATAATGTCCTCAGAAGGAATTTCGGTCACAGCCCGGTGGTTAGTCTAAATAGAGACTAGCCAACTGCACAGAACGGGATTATAGTGCCCGAGCTTATGCGCAAGCACGGGTGCACTCTCCGTTCCATTACTCTCATAATCCAATAGTACGGACTTAATTTTCACCTTAGCAGACAAATTAGCGGTCACAGCACCAGAATTCTGATGTGATAGATACTGTTAAACCACCACCACACAGAGATTAAGGCATTAGAGACGTAAATTTCCTCCGTCAACACTGCTTTCTCTACAGACTTTAAAAAGGAGACGGTACTCAATTCGACTGTATGTTTTTTTTATGTGTGTTACCTCATAACTTTTTACTTGGTAAACCGATTTCGATGATTCTTTTTTTATTTGAAAGCTGTCTGACCGATAGTTTTTGAGTTATTCTTAATAAATTATATTGAAGTTGGTTGTACAAAATATTCAATTTTAAATTTCACCCAGGGTTGGTTAGAAGTAAATGCCATAAGGCATGAACTGGGCCCTTGTTTACTCTTAGCTAATGTGATTGGAATAAACAATTAATAAATAAATTTTGTTTACAAAAGTTTAAAAGTTTGTGTATCATAATATTTGTTTCGACACAAATTTTTCTATAGTTTGATTTTAATCATGAGATTATCTCTGAGTACTGGCCCTAGTCAAACAACTAACTAAAAAGGGTATGCCCGTTATCGTTAAAGCCTATTAAAGTCCACTGCTGAACATAGGCCTTCCGATAGGGCCTCACTGCCTCATAGGGGGATATTTGCCATAGTTGCCACGCTTGGGAAGCTGGTTGGCAATCGCAGTTTTTTTTAGCCGTTATTAGGAAGGTGCTGCTGCCCATTTCCTGATTTGTTTCCCTCTGTGGCCTGTTACAACACCCATGGCATGATAAGGGGTAGTGGATATTCTTAAAAGGGTATAAACAAATATATTCAAGATGATTTACAAATATATATTCTCACTGCTCTTGAATTTGTATGGCAAGAGTTGAAAATAGTTATTTTAAGGGACTGTACTGATATAAAGGTTAATGTGTCACATATACAAGATACTATGATAGTGTAATTTGTTACAGATAGATTTGAACCATTTGTGCTGCCACCATAATATAGATGTAGTTTAGCTCTACCGCAATTACTAGATGTTACCTCTTCTGAACTTCTATCTTTCTGAACCATGGTAGCTCAGGTGCTAAGCGCTTTCTGTATATTTCGCAGTATGGGAGCAACCCAGAATTGATCTCTCACCAGCATCAATAAAATCATAAATTGTAATTTTAAGTTTTGATTTAACACATGCTCAGTGTGAAGGAAAACATCATGTGGAAACCAGCATGTCTAAGAAAGTACAGGCTGAGGCCGCACAGTATGGAATGGTGCATAGGATGTACTTTACTATTTTTACCTATATTTCTAAGCAAATGTTTAGTGATATGTCATTAAAATAAATAGGAAGAATACATATTGTTAATCTATACAAATAAATAAAATTGAAGTGTTTGTTTTTAATATCAAAATAACAGCTTTTTACTAATTCCATATGAAAGTATATAGTGTACTTATAACAAAAAACAATTTTAAAAATTTTTGTATGTCTGTCTGTCTCTTTGTTCCGGCTAATCTCCGAAATAGCTGGACCGATTTCGAAGGGACTTTCACTGGCTGATAGCTGATGTACTTTCATTTTAGAAAAAGAAATAGGGTTCCATAAAAATATTAATAACATTGCAGATTAAGGCAATTGTAAGATAATTATCTGTTTATATGTGACATCATAATATATAATAGCATACCTGGGAAAGAGCATGACAGGGCATGATTCCCCCTAGAGAACTTAATGCCCTCATGGCAAACCTGGTGGCTTAAACTCCATAAGAGAAATAAAAATTGTTTAACAGTACTTGAACAAATTACACTGTTTTTCACCTATGCCAGATTTTTTAAATATTGACCTTGAAACACTTTTTGTATGTTTGAGTGGGTCCCTAGATGGTTTATATTCATTCACAATTGTTGTCGAGATACACAAATTTACATGGTAGAGCCATGCTGCAGCTATTTTAATAGTATAGTTGTAGCACGAATGGGTCGGCTCGACCGGGGAACGACCACACTCTCACAGAATACCAGCATAAAATAGCAGCTTAATGCTGCTGTGTTTCATATGGTGAGTGTAGAGAACTAGAAACTCATTTTACTGGAAAAGAGGCATTCTATCTTAGTCCTCACGGCTGACAACGCATCTGCATTTTAATTCGCAAACAAAGATAGATGTAGATGTTTATAGGTCACGGCAAACACTTAGGTGGACTGTGTGCTCGTTTGTCACCCATATTCTATTTAAAAAAAATTCACCCATGTAAAGCTGGGGTGATTTCTGGTAAAAAATATAAAATACAGAAGTAGCAACAATCCTTCTTATATATAGTTCTTTAAAAAGTTAATATTAGTCCAGTTTTGGAGTAAGAAATAGGGAAATATAGAATATATGTACGGCAATCATCTCCCGATTATTTAGCTCGTACTGTGTAGTGGCAGTGTAAGAACATCCACTACCTTATATCAACCCGTGGGTATCATAAGAGGCGACAAAGAAAAACAAATCAGCGACAGGCAGCAGCATCTTCCTGATAATGACTAAAAAATAAAAAACTCCAGTTACCAACCTACTTGCCAAGTATGGCAACTATGGCAAATATCCCTCCCTAAGAGGCAAACAATGGAGGAGGCGTGTGTTCAGCAGTAGACTTTGATAAGCTGTAACAGTATCTAGCTCAGTTATTTGAGCACAGTGGCACAGCAATAACTTGATAAATATCTATAAAAAAAATTCATTCGACAATATCCTAAGATATCAAGGGCAATATAAAATATTTTTTTAAATACTTTACAACAAATAAGGTACAAATTATGTGAGTGATACAGTCATGTAAAATGAAATTTTGAGTTCCACATTGCCAATTGAACAAATATTTTAAAAGTACAGAATGATTAGATACATGTTTACGTTGTTTATATTAAAATTAAATAATTTGCACAACAAAATGTAAATTTATCTCTTGACCACATAATTAAATATTACTAATAATTCATTTACATCCAAAAGACCATAAGTGCCAATGTCAATCACAAATTTATACAATGTTTATCATGACCTTGCTATAAGAAAAATTTCTTGAAATTGCAGTAACCCATTTCCACAATATAAAGCAGAAAGTAAAAATTAAGATAAGTAAGGAAATTCCATTTGATGATAAAAACAATCATATTCCTTAATACGATCAATTGGTTATAGATATATGAGACGCGTAGAAAAGGTAATAAAATAATAAGTGACTTCATGTTATCAAACACTGATACAAAATACATTCACGTTATAAGTAACTGCGTCACAAGTTTGGAGTTTAGCCAGAAAGAAAATAACAAAAACGAAAAACTCACCCGATGTTAACTGGGAATTTCTCCGAACCGCTAACCTTCCCACCGACACGAAGCTGAGTCGTACGCTGCTCATTATTGCTTGTTAATTTTTAATTTATTCACTAAACACATCAGCTCGCAATCACAATTGACAGCAGAGATGCAAAAACGAAATGCAAGTGCAACAAGCAAGTCGAGTGTAATTCGTAGTAGCTATCAATTTTTGTTGTATTTGCAGTATTTGTTTGTCAGTGAGAGCTGAGAGGTCTATCCTATCATGACGCAACACTTTTAGTCAACATCAACACCGACAGCGTTCTAAATTCTAACACACTTTTCTGCTGAATGAACACGATGATTGCACTTTCCTAAATATTTATATGACTTTTGAAAAACAATTTTATTTTGGAGATATGTGAGCGGCCATACTGATGTTCACAGCTGATTTTGATGTAAAGTAAAATGGAATTTTCTTGTACCACGTTGTTTTAACAGTGTCGCCATCTAAGTTTGTATAAAAAATATACTTATAACATAATAAAAAAAAACTATTAAAATCAATTTCATATTTCATTTACATTCAGCACAAATTTTTGCTGATTTTTCCTGGATTATATATAAAATCAATTTATTTACGTATTCAAATTTATTTAGTTGTACAATAGCATGAAGTTTAACTTCATGTACAATAGGTAACATTCGTGGGAGTTTTATAAATTTTAATTGGAGAACACCGAAATCGTCCCATAATGTTGCAACTTGATAAAGATTATTCCAATATGTATATTTGATGAAGTAGTACAGTCCATACGGATAAATAAATGGGATTAGAAATGGCAGCTCATCGCGCCCGTACCGTCGACATGCACAATACTAATAGCAAAAGCCCGCTAATAACGGTATATCATTATAACATTATATTATTTATTCGGTTAATTGGAAATTTTCTATGAATGTGTAAATATTTGAAAAGAGTTGTATACTCAAGTAGGTACATTAATTTTAACACAACATTTATAACTAGTGACCCATTCTAGCTTCGCCAAATTAGGATCTATTAATGTGGCCTTATTTAATAAAACTACTTTTACGGATTTTATCGCGTTTAATTAACTTATTTTTCTTATTTTTATTAATTCCCGACGTTTCGGATGCTTTCCAGCACCCATGGTCACGGGGACTGAGGTGATTGACGTCCCGATGTTAGAATTAACCCGAAGAACCTTCAACTTTTTAATTATTAATTAGATCGGACCAAAATTAAATCTTACTAAGAATCGCTAAACAACCAAGAGTATGAGCGGTGTATAATTATTGTCACATAATTGGCAACTTTATCTAGTGGCCTACAGTTTGCATTAAATGGGTATCCCAGAAAGCACCCTTACCAATGGTTCTGGCGCTAAAAAAGCGTTATAATAAATTTTGAAAGCACTATCTTCATTTAAGTAAGCACTACCAATACGTAGGTAAGTTTGCCCTAATAATTTCTTAATTATTATTAAAAAGGGTGGATGTAATCAGGGTTGTCAAATAATATTTTTTTTTTTAAATAAATATTAAGGAACCAAGCAACGTGATCTTTTATTTATGTATTACAATTTAATACTTATTGTAAACACAGTAACAACAACTATTCTAGAAATTAAAACTTTGCCTAAAAGTAGCACAGCGATTATGGCAGAATAATCAGCGCTGTAGTCATGTGTATAGTTTCAGTGAATAAATAAATGTCTTTCTTTCTTTTACATATTACATACTCTCGAAAAACATTACCCCACTTCTGGGGCAGTCTCACTAACTTACCTCCATAGATACTACTATGCATGTATATAAAGGTCAGTGGGCAATTAGGTAAAAAAAGAGCGGTAGGATTCACTAAATAATATGCGGTTTTGTTGTTAAAACTTAGTGATTATTTACTCTTTGTTTGTAGTGCATAAAAAATTTAAAAAAAAATGCGTGAGTGTCGTGGAACACTCTGTTGGAACGAAGTTCCTTTCGTAGTACATATATTTTTATTAATGAACGTATTATATTACTGATAAACAAATACAAATAAATGAATTACTAGCGTCTATTAAAATGAAGCGTCATTTAAAATAAAATAATATTTATTTCATGACAAGATAAGAAAAAGTGCGAAGATGGATATTATTCTATCTCGTTTCCTTATAGCCGCCAAGGCCGTCTACACTACGTCAGAAGAGATCGTGATGGAAAAATCTTACACTTTTTCTCGCCTAGCTCGCATCCGCCAAATTAGTACCGTCCGTTAAGGTACTACGTTCCAATAATAATGATGAAGATGCTTATAATATACTCAAGATGATTATAATATACTCACACACACTCAGAGACTCTTGCAAGAGGACTCTTGTCCACGCGCACACTTTTTTTTTTACTTTAATAGCCCTTAACAGTTTACCGCAGGATGTGCACACAAGCACCCAAAACCATGTTGTTGGTTGCAAACAATTTAGATACATATGTGTACGTATGTGCGTGAGTACAAGTAGTTTCAATAAGTTGACTGTAGTTTAAGCTGGATTTTGCGTCATTTTAAATGTACGCAGCAATCAGTCTTTGTTTCTTTGTTGGTCGGAGCCAAAAAATTATTGTACAAGTCTTTGGTGTGAGCTTAAAAAATAAAAAAACAAACAAAGGAAAGACTTATTATTTTATACTGGAACGAATAATTGTTTAAGTAGTATGAAATGGAGTGCAATGTATAAAAATAACTTATAACGGAAGAAGCGGAACAATATATGTGAGCCTATATAATCTACCAACTATCTGTTTTCAAAAAATATAATAATCACTCTGCTTTACCAATCTCTATCTCAAAAGCATGTACGCCAATTATTTTCTAGTCAATCATCCATGTACGGTTATTACCTGAGGTGACATGAAGATAACCTAAGGTTACGGATATGAATCCGTCCCGCATCTGCACAGTGCACAGCTTAGACGCAGTCCTTTGCACAGAATAGGTATATGCCGTCGCGTCACTTAAAGAGTATATAATATGTGACAAATCACAAACTAATAAGAAGTACTAGCACCCGGTTTAGTTCATAGATAATATATTATAAACGGCAGTTAAGTCCAGCCCATACATTTAGGACAATAATAGATGGCCATAGTGGGAAAGGGAGAAAAAAATTCAATAAGGTAATATATACTCTGTAACCAATTTGAATGACAGGTATCTCCTAGATATTTTGAATAAAGTATAGTAATAGTGGATTTGTTTAGTAAGTAATTGTTTTACCAAAATGGTTACTTTTTCTGTGAGTGACTGTGGTGTCAATAATAGGAATAATTCTGATAATTGCACATTTCACAGGTAAATTCTCAAGACATCCTTGCTATGACGCGTCTATTTTTGATTAAAATGTGCGTTATATCTATAATATAAAAATTAATCGCTAAATGTGTTGCTAAGCGCAAATCTCGAGAGCAGCCGCACCAATTTCCCTAATACTTTTTTTATGATATTCCTTGAAGTACGAAGATGGTTCTTACGGAGAGAAATATTTAAAAAATTGCCTGAAAAAGTCTAAAAACAAGACTTTTCTATATTCCCATACAAAAGATTCGTAATAATACTTAAAAGTCAATTTGAAATTTAATACCATACCATAAAGTTTAAGTGTTAGTGGACGGGATCCGGGAAGGCAAAACCATTGAGTGACGTTTCCATCGTATAAATATTGACAAATGCTTATAAGTACGACGGAAACTTAATTGAGAATAAGTAAAAATAAAATGAAATATATTAAGTAGGTATCATAATAAGAAATCAGATATTGTAATTTTCATTGTGATTTTAGTGACTATTGAAAGAATTTTATAGTAAGTATTTTATAATTTTTATTTTTTGACATATAGTTGTTGACTTATCAACTTTCTTTTTTCATTTTTTATCTTACTAGCGATATCACACTTTGTGCTATTAGCGCCTTCATTTAGTGCCGTCGAAAACCAAAGAGTTTATTGAATGTCCAGTAAAATCGTCGATGCGCCGTTGAATACAGAATGATGATTCTGTTTTTACGCCGTTTCCGCCCGTTGTTTTAGTCACAGAATGTATTTTCACGAGAAATTAATTAATCATCTGAATTATAAAAGAACATTTTTTTATGGTAACAATTAAGTTTTTTGTATGAATGTAAGTGCTGTTAATATAAATAAACCCATAACGGGGGAAATGGAACAATATCTGGTAACCCAGTGAAAGTACCTCCCGCCTATTTCTATCTCAAAAGCATACGTAAATGCTTTATCTAGTCAATCCTCTATCTACGTCAATGAATCTATGAATCAGCGATGACTCAGAAGTCAGAAGGGCTAGAATCCAGAGCCATAGTATAGCCAGTTATAAAAAAATATGAATCAGCGACGTATGCTGTCATTTGTGGTCAAAGTTGTCCAAAATGGCTGAGACAGAGACCGATAATAACAGTATTGTTAGACCCGAGAAAAATAATAAGGGCCCGGTGGCAAGTAATGGGCCCCGTCGAGTCACTATATATAAAACTGAAACTGGTTTTGGTTTTAACGTGCGCGGTCAAGTTTCGGAAGGTGGACAGTTGCGATCAATCAACGGTGAATTATATGCACCTCTGCAGCATGTCAGCGCAGTTTTGGAGCAAGGGGCCGCAGAGCAAGCCGGTATAAGGAAGGGAGACAGAATTCTCGAAGTGTAAGTATTCCAATTTAAATATATATTGTTTATAGGCATATATACTAGTCGGTGAACTTCCAAAGGTAGGCGGTATCCCAAATACCTAAGGCATTTTCAATAATAACTACTCGTGAATTAATAATTCTTACCATTGTTATTAAAATTAAATGATCCCAAATCCATTCTTATTATTATTGTAGTTGATTGTACTTTGAATTTTATTTACATAATTACCTATATGAAACAGGAACAATTTATGAAATAAATTTTGTAACAACATAGTGAAAGTTAGTTTATCTCAACTTAATCCATTATACACATTAGATTCTACTTGTTGAGTTGTAGATTAGGGGTATTCAATATCATAACAAAATTCTTTTTAATCTTGTCATTGGGAGAAAAATCATTAATGTAAAAAGATCATTAACTAAATAGTTGTAGATAAAAAAATATATAGCAGTCTAATTAATAGCTATTAATCAGGGTTTTAGGGATGAAAAATATCTTGATATTTATGGCTTAATACATATCCAGCAACAGTCTAATTATAACATGGTTAAATCAATACAAAAATAATGATTACTTGTTGTATTGCTGTGTAAATTCTTCTGATTTATGGGTATAAATTAGAAGAATTTACATGTTACAATTACATAAATGTAAAAGTCCACTGTGAGACATGGGCCTTTATCATTAAAGGCAGGCCACACCTCAACACAAAATTCTGTTCCATGTCTCAAACCTTTGTCATGGCTGCCTGCCAATAGTATTTTACGTTTCATGTAAATGAGATTGTTATATGTCATATATCATAAGCCACTTCAGCATACTAATTCTTTGGGCTATGTCGATTACTCTGGTTCTACAGCGGATATCCTCGTTTTTAAGTATATCACGCAGAGAAATGCCGAGCATTGCCCTTTCCATAGCTCGTTGAGTGACTTTGAGCTTTCTCATACGGCCAGCAGTCAAGTACCACGTCTATAATATCTATTAATAA